CCTTTCTAATGCTGCTTGGCATTTGACAGTGTTTAATGAGGAGGTTCCTGGGGTGGCCCTGGGAGGCCTGTGGGAGGTGGGCATGCAGCCAAGAGAATCCTGGAGACTGCTGAGTGCTGCAACTGTCAGGCACTGTCAGAGGCAGTGGTGTGTAATGCCTCTCTGGGGTCCCGGCAAAACAAGCCGAGGTTGCCACCGCCCTCCCGGCAACCAGGTGTTGCTCTCCCAGCACAGGGCTCCTCTGCACCATTATTAACGCCTGTCTGCCCTTGGCAGGAGATGCAAGAACATTTATTGGCCCATAAAAGCCAACTCCAGATAGGAGAAATGACTTCTAAAACGCATCTTGCTGAAGAGGGATTTCCATAGCAACTTCAGAAGTGTGTGCATACAGCTAGAGACAAGTTCAGCTGACAGAAGCCACCTGGACCATATGCAAACCATGGTCTGGGTGGCAGCAGCCAAAACAGGTTCTAGAACCCGTCGTGGTGCTTAATGCCCTCGACAAGTCACTTACCCTCTCTAACCAAAGGTGACAGAGTCACCATCAGATCAAACTGAGAGGCATCAAGGCCATCTTTCCCATATCCCTCTCCCACTCTGGTCCAACTCTCCAGTCTCCCTGTCTCAATGTCTCAGCCAGTCATTCTTATGGTTTGACCTTGGGAAGCACAGGGTCACCTACAGCTCTGAAAGGAACTGGTTGGCCATTGTAAGAGAGTTCTGCCTGATTACATGAGTTCTGTGCATGCTTTCACGGCCCTATAGATCAGACTCTGGGCAAGAGTCAAAGATCATGACATGTAGGGACAGAAATTTGGGGATGGGGGGGGCTCTCAGGATCAACACGAGAAGCAGGGCACAGGCTAGGCGGGGTGCAATGGTAACAGAAACCCCAGGTGATCCCTTAGGGACCCCTAGATGGCCCTAGAGAGTTATGCTCTAGGAGGTAAAGGGCTCTGTAAACTCCCCTGACAGTCAGTGGGTTCCTGCCACCCCTGAGTAAGGGGTGTGACCCTGAGTCAGGCAGCTCCCTTGAGAGATGGCATTTTCACAGCCAGGTGAAGGCGGCGAGTGCCCCAGTCAACAGAGGATGGAGCACGGGCACTCTAATATCCAATGCACACACACAGGCACACACAAATGTACGTGCACACCCACACACGTACCCATGAGCACGCCCAGTACACACACACACACACACACACACACACACACACACACACAGTTGCACAGGCATACATGCATGTATGCACACACATGCGGACTTCACTGGACATGAAGTCGGCCCTGGAAATGGCACGGCAGAGTGATCGAGGACACTGACATCAGAGAAGACCAAACAGCAAGTCTGGCATTTTTTTGTGTCACCACAGTGGCCCTCAGACCTCAGGCTGGGGGAATGACTAGGACAGTCTGGAGCACAATTTCCTGTCCCTGCGGGATCCAGCCTGGGTTGACAAGATAAATTTGAAGTTTGGGGCAGAAATCAGGCTTGCATTCTCGCTGCACACTTGGGAGCCCTGTGACCTCAAACCAGCTACTTTCCAGCAGCCAACCCCAACGTGAGGACAGTCAGGGCTCCTCGGGTCTGGGTTAGGCTGGGATATCATGGAGCGTGAGATACAGAGCCAGCAGAGGAGAAGCAGGAGCCAGGGCACTGCCCCTGTGCTGGGTACCACACATCTAACCCACCCCAAAGCCTGTGATCACAAAGCCTATTCCTAGAGGCCAGGCTACGGCAGGGGCTGCCTCCCTTTGTTTCCTGGATCTTCAGCTGGGGCTCTTGAGCCACGCCTGCGGAGAAGCAGCTGGGAATTCCGTAGCAGCACAGGCTAACCTAGCTCGACAATGGCTGCTCTTGTTTAGCCTGGGCTAACTCAGGCTAACCCAGCCTCGTGCATCTTGATGCAAGCAAACCTTGTCTAACCAGACTAACCCAACCCGGACCTGGGAGCTTTGGAGGGTATTAAATAGCAACTATGATGCAAAGACTTCTGAAAATGAATAAATAAGTTGCCATACTTGTGACAGTTTCAATAAGCAATGCAGCTCCCTGGTAGGTATCTGGTTGTTATGTTCAGGCTGTCTGTTCGTCTGAAATGCATGCCAGACAAGGGGCACAAACATGGAAAACCTGAAGTGCCCCCAAGGGCTATACAAATTCAATTATCACTGTTGGCAATCTTGGCCTCTGAAGATTAGAAAGGAAAGCAGGATGAGTATCAGTGGGCATTTGGTAGGAGTCTGTCTCTTCTGGTTATAAAGAAGGCAACCACCAAGTCCCTGAGTTACCCGGGACTGTGCGATGCATGCCATTAACTGACTGCCATCGCATGGCAAGGTACAGCTTGCAAGGGTGGCTTTGCTTGACTTAAACAATAACTCCATGCAGTAGGCGTCATTCTCCTTCATTCATTGTTGAAGCTCAGGGAGGCAGAGGGACTGGTATTCCTCAGCAGAGAGTCCCACGTGACAGCCAGCATGGTGGCACACACCTGTCATCCCGGCAGGAGGAAGCAGGAGGAGGGAATATGGAAACAGAGGGGTCACAAGTTCAAGGCCAGCCTGGACCACCCTGTCTCAAATAAACAACACAACAGTCTCATGAGGGGTTTGGGGTTGGAAGCAGACAGAGCACTCCTTTCCCTGTCACGGGAATGTATTTGCCAGAGAAGGTTCCAGAGGAAATGTTTAGTATGGATCCCTGCTTGGAGAAGAAGCTCAGCTGCTGAGCTAGGGTAGGGCTTTAGAGAGCCGAGTGGTGTGGCTTTGTGGCTTTGGGCTCTCTAGCAGAGTCCCCCAAAATGGACAGTCACAGCCTCGTTCTCAGAGGCTGCCCCTCTCATTCTAAGGACCATGTTCTGGGCAGCACAACGTCTCAGTCTGAAATCTGAAAGCCATACTCAGAGACTGAACACCCCAAAGACAGTGGGAAATTTAGTTCATGGCTCCCATGTGAGCCTACTCAAGCTAACTCTGCTAGAGTTCTCTGTCCTGTTTTATATCTGCTCAGATGTGGGCACATGGAAGAGCTGCCAGCCAGCCGTAAGTACTGATGTATTAAGGACAGCTACCGGGGTCTGTGTAAGCAGCACGGATTTTCTCCGTGCCTTCCCACACAGAGAAGCTCTCTACCCCTGGAGCATGGCTTTATTCCATTTCAAGTACCCCCAGGAGCATGGCTTTATTCCATTTCAAGTGACTTTTACTTTAAAATGAGGAAGCTACAGCTTCTCGGGCAGACTCCAGAGCCCTTGCCTAGATTTGGACTCTGTATGTGAGATATGATTAGAATGAGATACGGCGTCAGCTTGAGAAAGACAGGTGTCTCCAACAGGGCCTGAGGGGTGGAGGAGGGAGGTAGTATCGGTCCTAATGGGGAGCCACAGGGGTGACTGTTCTGAGAACTGGCTGGTCACTACAGAGCCCTGGGTCTCAGGGAGGCCACAGTTCCTTCCCGACGTCCTTGGTCTGAATCACCAGCCCCCTAAAAATCTTTCCTGAATCTATTTCACCAGCATCATGATTCTCCAACTTTAAAGTGCATATGAATCATGGTGAGAAGCTTCTAGAAGGCCAGTGCTGAGTCAGTAATTCTGGGGTTAAGGCCTTGTATTCTAACAAGCCCCCCAATGAGGCCGATACTGTCAATTTGTGGACCGAACCTTGAGCAGAGACGTATTAGTAGTGATGTGTGATTGAAAAAAAAAAAAAAAAGATCTGTGGGCAAAATAATTGTGGTGATATATTGTGTGGTGATCAGAGAAGCAGAGCAAGCCACAGCCACCACCTCTTACCTCAACAACTCCTCAGCCTGAAAGAGTCTCTAGCTGAAAGCAAAGCTTCTACCGAAAAGCCTTTAGTTCCTGTCTGCTGTGGGATGGTCTGTATGTCAAATGTGTTACTGATTGGTCAATAAATAAATCACTGATTGGCCCGTGGCCAGGCAGGAAGTATAGGCGGGACAAGGAGGAGAATAGAGCTGGGAAGTGGAAGGCTGAGTCGGGGAGACACTGCCAGCCGCCATGATGACAAGTCGCATGTGAAGATGCCGGTAAGCCACGAGCCATGTGGCAAGGTATAGATTAATGGAAATGGATTAATTTAAGCTGTAAGAACAGTTAGCAAGAAACCTGCCACGGCCATACAGTTTGTAACCAATATAAGTCTCTGTGTTTACTTGGTCGGGTCTGAATGGTTGTGGGACTGGCGGGTGGCAGAGATTTATCCTGACTGTGGGCCAGGCAGGTAAACTCTAGCTACACCTGTCTCCTCATGCCTTATATATCTTTCTCACTTCCTGGGATTAAAGGTGTGTATGCTTCCCAAGCAAAGACATGAGATCTCAAGTGCTGGGATTAAAGGTGTGTGCCACCACTGCCTGGCTCTGTTTCTCTCCTAGACTGAGTCAATCTCATGTAGTCCAGGGTGGCTTTAAACTCACACAGATCCAGATCCATCTGAATCTCTGCCTCTGCCTCCCGAGTGCTAAGATTAAAGGTGTGTGCCACCACTCCTTGGCCTCTATGTTTAATCTAGTGACTTGTTCTATTCTCTGATCTTCAGGCAAGTTTTATTAGGGTACACAATATATCACCACAAATAATTATATGAGGAAATTTGAACTAAACAAAAATGAACAGGCTTCATTACATTGCAGGACTTCTTAGAGCTTTTTAAACATCAGCAAGCATCATTAATCTCCAAGAGGAGAGCATGAAAAACCTTGTAAATTGGTAATACTTCTGGTGAAGATATAACCAGAAGGCCTTGACACACTGCTCTAAAAGAAAGAACAAAAGTCAGTTCTGTGTATTTTTCCAGCTTACCTGGGTTCCAGTGTTCCAACATCCTAAGCCAGCTCTGCCCTCTTCTCATTCCTATTTCCTCCTTTGAAGTATGTGAGAACATTCCTGCCTCCTCCATCAGCCCTTAGACCTGGACCTCCCTGCCCCTCCTCCCTTCCCTGTTCCGAGTTCAGAGGCCCCCTGGAATACCTTTCACAGACTCGCACGGTCCAGGCGGCGATGATCCACAGAGAGATGCTGAACACCAGCAGCACCGTGCCAGGGCAGATGGTCATGAGTGTCTTCATGACGAATCTGGTGTTGAAATTGATCTTGTTGAGGGCCCCAATGCTTCGGGATGAGGCATCAGTGAAGAGTTTGCTGTGTAGCAGCATGACTCGGGCGATCAGGTACAGGCGCAGGAACATGGGGATGGACAGGATGATGTCCACATCAGCCTCTGCCCGAGAAGGGGTATAGGAGAAGGCCAGGCGTGCGGTCCAGAAGAACTTGTACTCTCCAGGAATGGGGTGGATGGCACACACCAGCATCTCCAGGCTGATGTAGAGGATGCGCTCGTAGGTCATGGCTATCCGCCAGTCATCTGCACCATTGTCGATCACAAAGAGCTGGAGGAGCAGAGAGTGCGTTAGTGTGGCCAGGACAGGTGAGCAGGAATGTCCCAGAAGACGCTAATGGGGGTTCCATTAGCCTGAACACCTCGGGGCAGGCTGGACTTCCAGCTGTGGTGAGTGCCCCAGTAGAGAGTGGAGACCTGCCTGGGTCGGCTGGATATCTTGGCTAAGACGCCCACTCTCAGCACCTTGCACTCCTCCTCTGGAAGTTGCTTCCTAGGATACCATCATGTCTGTCTGCCTGTCTGTCTGTCTGTTTCAGACAAGGTCTCACCCTGTAGCCAGCTAGCCTCAAACTCATGGAAATCCTCCTGCCTCAACCTTTCCATTGCTGGGATTACAATAAGCCAGCATGACAAGCTGGATATTGAGATTTATAATCAGAAACAATACATTTGGTCTTCAACTTGGCTGAGGCACGAGCTACTAAAACCCCAGGAGAGGACTGGGGTGCAGCAGAGCATGCACAAGACACTGGGTTTGATCCCCAGCAACACACACACACCACCACCACCACCACCACCACCACCACCACATGCATATAGACACATATGTACACATCACACACATACACATACACACACACACACACACACAAATACAAACACACACAACACACACACCCCATACCCCACACACAATGAGCTTTAAAAATAATGAGTCTTTGGGGGCGCTATTATGTTTTGTTTTGTTTTGTTTTGAGACAGGATTTCACTGTGTAGCTCTGGCAGTCCTGAGTTTTGTTATGTGGACTAGGCTGGCCTTGAACTCACAGAGATATACTTGCTTCTGCCTCTCCTAAGTGCTGGGTTAAAGGTGTTTACACCTGTCTATATTATTTAGTGCTGGAGTTGAAGCCCAGGGCTTCACACAGTGTTGTTTGTCACTAAGCCCCGTCGCCAGCACAGTCAAAATCTCCTGAATGCCTGTGTCATGACTGAATGACCATGCTGTGATTGCTTGGGGAGCACTGGCCAACGTTGGGATGGGAGCTAGGAAGAGAATGGCTATCAGTCCCACCCTCCCCAGGGTGGCATCAGTGGCAAAAGATTTCATCAAGTGTGCCACACAGTGAGCTTCTGCAAAACCCAAGGCCAAGGTTTGGAGAGTTCTAGATAGCGGGACACACGGAGGTACCTGGAAGGCGGCACGCCCATAGAAGCCCCAGGGGCTCCGTGCGCTTCCCACTCTCCTGCCCTGGGAGTCCAGTCCAGCTTGTTGCTAACAGGATTCTCTGAAGCATCCTGAAGAAGAATTGTGCAAGTGTTTCACCTGGGTCCAGCAGATAAATCAAACCCAGGGCCCAGGTCACAGGAGCCCCAACTCACAGCTGGTCAGTCAGCCCCGTGTGGGCTTTGGAAGTGGGGCCAGAGCTGAAGAACCAGGCCAGTAGCCAGTGGCATCGAATGCCAACTTCCAATAGAGTGTTAGAGCTGGGTTAAACTGCAAAGCATCCCTTTGGTGTTCATGTTTGGTGTGTGGACAACTCCCACAAATCCTAAGAGCAGAGAGCTTGGCTGGAGGAGGACAGCGGGAGGGGCAAGCGATGGGTCAGTCTCTTTCTGCTATGCCCTGCCAAGCTCCCTTCCAGCGTGAAGGATCCGGCCTCTGTGTGTTATTTTATGCTAAGGGGGATTAAGAGTGCTTTTGTGTTTAAAAGAGAAAAAGCAAAAACAAAAACCCCACATCTCTGAGTCTCAGCAAGTGTGGCTTGATGAAGAGGGGTGTCTCCTGAATCATGGGGCTCACAGGGCAGCCAGGTTCCTGACCCCAACCCAGAAGGGGCAGGAAGTGTCTGCTGTCCCTCCTACACTCTTGAGCCATGCATAGAACATCCACTGCACGGCTCCTGAGCCCAGTACTAACCAGTTCAGTAACCCTGAGTGCGTTACTGGACCTCGCTGCCCCTCCACTCTCATCTGGGGATGCGACATCTGTTGCAAGCAAGCCAGAGAGGCTACCATGGGCACATTGCATGTATCGTGCACAATGGTATGCCCGAGGTACAGTGAACCCCGCCTAACACCTATCACACTATTAGCTATTATGAGCATAGTGGTAACTATTAGCTATTGTTAATATTAGCTATGACTGCTATCTTTTAGCCTTACAAAGGTTAGTATCTTGGTCTTTCCAAACAATGATGACTGGGTTCAGCTATATCTCCATTTCTTTCCAGTACCAACCTTCTTCAAAGCTCTGAATCCTGGGGCCAGGTCATGAGAACCCACTCCAGCAGTCATTCCCTGGATATCTGCCTTGCCTGTACTCAGCTGAGATTATGTGGGGAAGGCCCAGCCTTTGTCCCCAAGGAAGTCCCACTATGGGGTCCCACGGTGCTTGATGACTGTTCAGGAACTGCACTTTCGCCTTTCAACAGACTCAGTCTTCTCTGAACAGAGAGGAGCCTTGAAGGTCCCAAGCCACTGGGGCCTGCCTAAGGCCGAGGCGATAGCCAGGACAGTGGAGGTACCCATCACACCCCATGTACCTCCCTGGCTGCCACCCGCTGCCATGCACCCCCATGAATCCTGCCCAGAGCCCTAGGGAGCTGCTGCCTTCCAGGATGGGAGCTGCCGGCCTTTAATGAAGAGCTAGGGTGGAGGTCTTGTGGCCTAACTCAGCTGGCGCTCTGGGGCAGAGAGCCTCGGAGGGCAGGCATCCACTCGTGCATCGTGAACGGAGAGCGACCCCTGAATCCTGCCTTGGATGGCCAGTTCAGGAAGGCCAGGGAACAGTCAGCCTGGGAGGGGAAGACGCCGATGCTGTGGCAGGAGCTGGGGAAAGATGAGTTTAACCTCAAATCCAGCATCCACAAAGGAGAAAAGTTGGCCGCACTATGTGTTGAGGGCTGGCCAAAGGTTAGATGAACTAAGCCTCCTTCCCTGCCGCTTCTGCCTGCATCAGACTGCCTCCACCTCCTCCAAGGTCTGGGCCCCACCACAGGCCTTCAGCCTTCTCCGCTGCCTTCCCACGAGTCACTCCATCCAAGGAGGAAGAGAAGACTCACGCTGCTTGGGCCTGAGGCCTCCAGGAATAAATCCTGAGAGTCAAATAGTCTCTGGCACACCAGATACAAATAGAAGGCAAGCAGGTGAGTCACATGATGTAGACAGTGTGTAGGGGGGGCGGTGGGGGAGTGCTTCTTGCTTTTAGTGTCTGCCTGTGACATTTGCATGCTACAGGATCAAGTTCCAGACATGCTAGCAGGCCTTGCATGCTTGCACTGAGAGGTAAAAGAGGTGGCTGTGGCGGGGACCAGACTCCAATGTCACTGAGCCTCAGCTTCCCCCTCTTCCTGTCCCGGGACCACACAAGGGCCATAACGAATGTGAAACTCATAACCCATGTGTTAATGTGTTAAAGGCAAATGTGTTAAAGGCCTGCTGTCTGTTGGGAATAGAGCAAAACCGCCAAGCAAGGCCTGATGATGAAGGTCAGCAGGGGAAGTAGAGGCCGCCATGAGAACACCTGGCGGCGCGCCTCTCATCAGGAGTCACCTGGGAACAGGGAAAGATTCCAGCACATCACCAAGGGAGCCTCCCCTTCTCTCAGTGCAGTGCAGCCTGGGTTTTCCCAGACCAGATCCATCAATTAGAAAGACAGATCTATGGCCATTCCAAGGCGTCTGTCTGCTCCTAACTGCGATCCGACAGCCCGAGTCATGGCAACATGACTATCTGGCCAAACTCTTTAAATACAAAATTAAAGCCTTCCCTCCAGTGATAAAGAAGCACATTCGGTTGCTATAGTAACTGGGTTCACGCAGTAGGAACTGAAGCAATGAGTAACAGATTCCTTTGATTGCTTGGTGGGGACTGAGCTGGTCCATCATCTAAACTGAAGGATGGGGTCTCCACTGAGCTACACAGCTCCACAGGAAAGAGCTGGACTGGGGCGGTGTCCCACCAGCGCTCAGGTGCCCTATGTACTTCAGTTTCCTGATGCAAGGGAGATGGGGGCAGTCCTGGGTAGTCAACATCGGAGGCTGGTGAGCTGGATGGAAGCTTCCCACAGCCAGGCATCAGACTCCCTGAGTCCGTTTGACTGTCTCCATTACGGGACAATTCACCTGTTCCTCTGCACTCCACCGACTCTTCTCTAAGTAGGTGGATCACAGAGCTGACTGCTGGGGCATTTTCGAGCAGTGTGCACTTGGGGGAGGTTGTTTGGAGTAGAGGAACAAGGAGAACTATTTCAGGCTACAGACTGAGAGCACCTGCTAGACAGGCACCATGGCAGCGTTTGGCGGCGCTGCAGAGCCGGGCATCTCCCAGCACATCCCAGCACATCCCAGCACATCCGTGGCTCTCCTACACAGGACAGCCTATGCCTTGTGCTTTCTGCCCCTGGAACCAAGCTCTGCAGTGTGACCTCACTTCCTGCAGATGCACCCTGCAGCTTCTCAGCCTCCTGCTCATTCCCTGCCAATCACAAGTTCCAGCTATTTATTGGTCTTTACTGTGTTTCCGTCTGTCTTGTCACTTAGGCCAGTGGCTGTCAGTGTGGCTGCACATCAGAGCCACTTGGAGCCTGTTAAAATTCCCTTTGCCTTTCACCACAGGAGCATAGCACAAGCAAGGGGGAGGGAGAGAAAGGCGGGGAGGGAGGAAAAAGGAAAGAAAAGCATCTCCATGCCGAGGTCCATCCTCAGACTAAGACTGGGTCTGTGGAGGGGGCCGGGGCTGATGTCTGAATCTGTGGGAGGGGAGGACTGATGTCCAGATCTGTGGGAGGGGAGGGCTGATATCTGAATCTGTGGGAGGGGAGGGCTGATGTCTGAATCTGTGGGAGGGGAGGAGGGCTGATGTCTCTGTGCAGTGGGGTGGGCTGACCCTAGGATTGTTCTTACTCTTGTTTCTGATAGAAGGTCTGTTATGTAGCTCAGGCTATGCTTGATCTTGCTCTCTTCCCACCTCAGCCTCCTGGTGCTGGGATCGCTCCCCACAGGTGACTCTCAAGTGTGGCCAGGGTCGGGACCCAGTGATTACAGC